CATCGACAGTTTTTAAGGAACAAATACAGGGCTACCCAAACCGAAGGACTTCCTACAGGGAGGCGCGGGGCTGGAGTCGGCCGCCTGGCAAAGAGCTCCTGCTACCGAAAGTGTGGGAACCACTTCGTGAGTGCAGTCACCGACATGAAAGTTAACGCCTGTGTTAAAGACTCAATTTCAGATTGCAGAGCAAGACAGACCGCGGAGCTCAAGACGAAGCATGTGGGAATGGGGGAAAAAACCCACCCTTATCCAAGAGCTCTCCCCACGGAGAGTGAAGCTGGAGCAGAATCCCGACTCAACACACCCCTGGAGAAGCCCACGACTTTCCTCCTCACCGAACAAGAGCATCACTCAGTGCTGTCAAGCATCAGCCCAGCTGTGATACTGCTACCCAATTCCGTGGCGCTGCGTGTTTTCGAGCTATGCATCACCTTTCGACCCCTCCCTTTGTTTCGATGTCAGCACGCCCCTCTCGGGGAGCGGCTCCCACTTCCTACTCGAGGAACGGAGTTGAGGTGAGGGAAGCGCCGGTAACAAAGATAGCTTCCCGTGCCCTCAAAAATTTCCTTCCCACTCAAGCAAGCATTTGCACGTACATCAGCTACTGATTTTAGGACGAAGCTTTTAGCCGCACGTGAGAGCTGCTCATGAAAGCCGCTGAACGCTGCAGAATGTATTTCTAGGGAGACTCAGCCCTGACAGCCCCGGCCGCCGGGCCCTGGTGCTGACGGGCACCCGTAAAAGTCACAGCTACTACTTGAAAGGCAACCTGCAGACACTGCTTCGCTATCCCACATTATCCGCTGACGGATTTACAGAAGGCTGGGACACGGTAAGATTTATCGCTTCAGTTTTATGTACTAAGGAGCAATATATTCTTCCAAGAAGTTAACTCTTATACCATTCTGGCTCTTTCCTTTCTGCCCAGCCTCAAGGGAAAAGGCGTACGGAGGAACTAAATTCCTACCACATCCGCCAGCATTTACTCCAGCGCATTCCCACCGTAAGAAGAATAAACCCAAGGAGTGATCGTCAAGCACAAAATGAACACTTCATGCATTTTATTGAGACTATTTAAATTTGCATTATGACATCTTACATAGGGAACAAACTCCTCCTAAATGTTAGCTATCAAATCTGGTCAAACTGTTGTCCAATGACCTCAGAGTACCATTTTGTATTAAACAAGTCCAGTATAAACAGATGTAAAGCACTGTACAAAAAAAAAAAAGAAAACTGTTACATTCTCAGTTGAATTCAGGGCTTCCCAACCAACAGCCTTACTAGCAGGTCGTGAAATTGAGGAAGGGGTCTCGGGTATTTTAGCTTAAGGGAACAAAACCAGATAAAACAATCAAAGCAAATTCAACGGTATGTTTCCCCATAAGAAAAAGAAGAAAAAATAAAAGAGATACCTCTTATCAAAAAGAGGTTGGGAAGCCCTGGTATAACAGATGCAAACTTCTTTTCTCTTTTAACACAACACAACTCATATGTACTTCGGGTAAGTTACCATTGGTTCTGCCTCTTCACCCTCCCTCTTCCCTCCCTAGTCAAGGATAAACAAACAAAAAGCCTAATGTATGTAGAAGTTGGAAATATTTCTGAATTTGTTATAAATTCCCTTAACGTGGCTCCAAGCCAACCCTCATCCAAAGCACCTCCTCCTGGGAGAAGGCAGAGGAGCAGGCAGACATCTCCGTGATGCCTCTGTACCTCATCAGCTCCACACTTGCTTACATACCCTTACTCAAGCAACGCGAGCCCCCCGCGGTAGGAGCAAGGATGAGCGGTGAGAAAACCCAGACACCAGTTACACGAATGCACTCATTAATGAAAAGGATCCCAAACTAAAGATAAGGCTGCGGCTAAGCCGTCAGGATGAAGCGTTGCAGCGTGACGGTGAAGATCGCACGGTGAGATTCAGAAACCCCCTCATCGCACTGCTAAGTCAGAGACCGACGGTCAGCCTTAACGGCATTTCTTTTCTCGTCTTCACATAAGACCCTCATTATTACGAGACCACTGGGAATCTCCTCTTTGCGTAGGCAACCATTTTGGGATAAACATCGACTGCAGGTATACCAGGGAAACAGTCCTTTGGATTCTCCACATTTGCATAATCCAGAGAAGTGGCAGGGAACTGGAATGACAGTCATGATGGTCCATTGTGCCAACCTTGGTGGGAAATCCATTCGTTTGCCAAGTTGACGCAATGGACAATTATGGCTCCTTCAAAACCGGTACGGTATCACGTCAGTGCGGCTGCTGTGCCTGCACCTCAATACTCCTTACAAAACGTCTTTAAACTTTTCTTGAGCGATTTCTACGCATGCAGTACCTACACTAATCAAATCATTTTTAAAACAAGTCAATTAACTGCCTACAAGTTCCTTGCAAAAAACCCAACTTGTTTGAAGAAATAAAAAAGTGCACATGAAAGGGAAATCTAACAGACCCCAGGAATAACTCTTCAGAGTCTTTTAACGGATAAAGCCCCAACTGAAAAAAAGAAAGCAAGCACCCACAACTCTGTATCGGTTCACAATCTCAGTTAAACTATTAAACGCACTCTTAAATAAAAAATACTGTGCGTTCTTCTAGGTTTTTGCCTTGTGACTGATTTAATTGCCGTGTATGGAGATCCTGTGGATACAGGTCTGCCCTGCCAGAAAGGAATTAAGCTCACGCACCAGACAGATATTCACAGCAGGAGCTTGGGTGGTTTGCAGTTTGAAAAAACCACCGCGGTAACTACCCAGGCAGGCAGTAACAGGGAACCTCCTTCAAAAATAAAATAAAGCAACAGCCTTCAATGCAAAAGAAACCACGCTGCTCCAAGCGCGGAGATAGAGTTAGCCTGGCTTTGAAGGCAGGCTGAGTGAAGCTCCCACACGGTGGCACTGTGAACCAGGCAGCCGATGCAACAAGGCTGCCTCTGCCGCTTCAGGCTCACCATTTCTGTACAATCAGGCCTTTGAAAATGACAAAACCAGCCATTTTAACCCTTCATATGGCTACAAGCATGAGTTGGGTGGCTGTATCCCTCCTGGAATACCAAGGAAGTGTAAACTGAGGGAAGCGATAAGTACAAATGCTCAATACCAAAATGATCCATGAACTGTAAATCAGGCTAATTGTGAACCTTGTTAAATTAGAGTGTCTTTCATATTTTGTTAGCAACTGAAGTGTTAATATTGGCTTTTCCTATCTCCAATCTAACTTTAAAAGAATAGAAATGGAATTACCGCAGAGGCTGACAGATGACTCAGCTACATAAAGAGGTCTTTGCTGTATCAGCAATTTAATTTCTGCCAACTCCTCCAGACGTCAGACAACGAACCCCCAGCGCACTTAGCACGCTCAGCGGCGGAAAAGGCATATAAAACAGTGAGAACGTTCAAGGCCTCCTGAACTGAGGTTGAATTATCTGTTCTTGGTACCATTTGGGAAACCTCCAACATTTTATTAGTTGCTACTGTTACAGAAAGATAAAATGTTAAGGCATGCCATTATTAAGCTATAACAAAACCGTAAAGTTGATTCTACCAACATGAACAGTTACTGGAAACTCAGAATATTAAAAAGAAAGCTATGTTGAATGACACGTATCACAGCCGTGCTTCACATTAATTAGCACTCGTGGGCTCCTTTCTTTCTGGTCACAAGCCTCAGTCCTCAGAGACGTACATCAGACTTTCAAGATCTAACATGGTATCCACGTGAAGAGGGTTTTGTTTTTTTTTTCCTTCTAATTCTACGCTCCAGTAAGGCAGTAAAGCTACTGGAAACTGCAACTGATAGCGTGTCTTTGCTATGTGAATGCTACTGGAAGAAATTCAGAAGTGTTATTTTGTTGAGGAAATTTTGGCATAGAGAGTCCAGCACCTGAAATTAAGAGCTAACTTCCAATTTTACAGCGATGCATGTCAGAGGGAAAAATTTAAAAAACATGAGCTTATTTATTCTTCTGTTCAAAAAGAATACATGTATCCCCTCTGCCACGATGGTGTGTCCCACCAGGAGGAAAGTGAGCTCAAGAGCCAGTCAGGGTTTCCCACTGAACCAAACACCACAAAACGCACACGTAGAAAAAATTTGGAATTTTGGGACATTGTGGAATCCTTAACTAGCTGATGAGATGTTTAAATGGCTTAGAGCAGAGACTACAGTTTATGCAACCACCACTATAAAACACCAAAAATGTGTTTTAATTAGGAAAAAAGATAGGCCAGCTTTGGTTTTGTCGTCTGAGGAACAAGCAACATTTCCCATATAGCCAGCAAGAGCAGTTCATATCCCTTCATAACTACTGCCCTGGAGTTGAAATAAATACTGCTTTCCCTGTTGCACAGGAAAGCTAGAAAAACAAAAAATCATTAGAGAATAAAACAAAGAACGGGTCATTGCGGGGGGAGGGATGTTTTCCCCTGACACTGATGAGAGTTGAGGTACATTCTTGAATTCTCCATTTCAATATGCCACGCGCATAATTTTAAAAGTAAATTCAACTCATTTTAATCTGTCCAATTTGTTGGGGTTTTTTAATGTCATTCTTAGAATTGGCTACACATTTAAGTGTACTCCCATAATCAATTATCATTTTCAAGTTTAGCCTAACACTCTAATAATCTGTTTTCCAGTTAATACTGAAAGTTATTTTTCTGTGGCACTTGAGTCACAGGCTACCAACACTGGATGTACCAGCATGTTCACTCAACAGATCCAGAGGTTACTACTATAGTTGAAGCTGGTGGGGAAGAAAAAAAAACCTGTCAGTACTGGTCTGCTGAATAGTTACACAGAGTTGCCTCAAAAAATGAAAGTAAAAGTTGGTAGAAAAATTGGGCATAAACCTCACTGAATGAACTGGTACATACCGGTTTGTATTATTACGTATCAGCAACCATACCAAGAAATAACCAGCCATTAGAAAAGTTTCTAATTTTTATAATCTTTTTTGGTGGCATTACTGAGCCAAAACACTGCAATTATAACATTTAATTTCCGTTTTTTTAATGCAATTAAGATGTCTAATTCAACTGTTTTTATATTACAGTAGCTGTTCACATAAATAGTACAGATATGCACTGCTCTTGACAGGTACACAGTTACAAAAGCAGCTCTCTTGTATTTAGTTTGCTGTCTGTGTGGTGGGTTTTGTATGAAAAGCATTCTTGATTTCTAAGCATGGTACAATTTTAATTCTTAATGCGTTAGTACAACAGTGCATTGGAAAAGTACTGAGCTTCTACAAAAAAGCTTTACAATTTTAAAACAGATTTTTTTTATTTAAACAAGCATAGGCAATTCTTATATTTCCACAACAAGATAAATATCCCAATTAAGCTAACAGCTCATCCTACAGCGTGCCATAGTGATGGGGAAAGGGCTAACATTAGTGTTATTTACACAGACATGTCCAATATTAACCCAGTATGAAAATTAAAAGTATGTTCAAGTGTGCAATTAAGTTCATATTATTTTTTCAGATAGTTGGATTTCTTGCAAAAATTCCTCTACGTCTCATGTACATTTAGCTGGGATGACTTCTCAAAGAACTCCTCATAAGCACAACCTTGAGGACAAAATGTTTATTGGACTGGGATGGCAGGGGCTGGGTTGGGGAAAGAACTTAATACTCTTCACAAAGAAAAAAAAAATATTTTTAAGTGGGTAGAAGTCTTTGGACAAGTGAAATTTAACACCCAAACCAACTAGATCTTGAAAACCCTAATTAAAGAAATTTTCCAATTTTAAAAGCTTGAATTCAGAGAAAATGCTTTCATGAGGGAAGATGCACTCCAAGTCATTACTATACACTGAGGTACCACTCAAAAAGTGGCCATAAAGGAAGTGACTTCTTTGCCCATCACTATCACACTAGCTGCTTGGCCATAAATTCAGATCTCATTTAGACAACACTCTCTCTGTTACCAGAAGCTAAGACTGCTCTGCGACAAATGGGACAAGTGGAATTTTCTGATAACCAGCGATCAATGCAGTGGACGTGATACTCGTGCGAACAAGGCAATTTACGGAGCTTGTTGCCTTCCGTGTACTCTGTAATACACACACTACAGGTTTTCAGAGCATCGCTCTCACCAAAATTCCTCATCGCTAGGTTGTCAATTTGTTCTTTGGTGAGTCCTCTTGGTTGGTCATCATCATCTTCATTTAGTAGGAAAAATTGTGCTAGGCTAAGGAATGGTAGAGAACCACTTTCTTCAAATGTGACCGATCCCCTCGTATTCCGACCTTCCCGTCTGGCACCAGACGTTGAACCACCTTCATTACCACCTTCATACACCTCCCCTGAGCTAACATCTGTACTTTCATTGCTTGAAGTACCACCACCTCCGTTCTGTGGCTCAGAAGCATCCACGTTCTGATTTGGAGTTGGGCCACTAGGATCTGCATCACTATCACTATACATGAAGTAACTCAGCTCTCCGAAGCCTGTCATTATCTGCCTTAGCATAGTCTGAATAGCAACTGATGTAGTCTCACTCAAGCCTGTGTTTAAGATCCTACGGATAGGAATCCTAATGGTACTGACGTAAGTTCTCACTCCAGCCCGTTCTGAACGTGAAAATGTGCGCCTAAACCCTCCCCGTTCACTTTCGTAAGTGACTGTGTTGTTCGGTGTCTGGGACCTCGACCGAGTTCTGTTGGCTATGCTGTCTCTTTGCCGATATTCTCCTGGACGAACTCTTCTCACCTGAAGATCGAGTACTATGGTAGGAGGCCTCTGCCCAGGAGCTGCAGACTCACTGGTGCCGTTAGTTTCTGAAGAACCTGCTGCTTGAGGAACAGGTCTTGTTTCAGGGGTTGAAAACAGAACTGCGTTTTCACTTGGCATCTCAGTCCCCACTGTATGCTGCCTTAATGTCACATGCTGCCTAGTTCTAGAGCTTCCCTCAGCTTCATTCACTGAGGAGTGGTCAAGTGTTTGAGATGATGTATTGTGGTGAGACCTGCGAGGAGTCTCACTCACTGGATTAATAGGTGACCTACTTCTATCAGTCCTAGCCCGCGTTCTCCGCTGTTCTGGACTCCTACTTCTTGCTCTCCTCTGCCCTCTAGGAAGGGAAGCTTCCTCAGTTGTTAGCTCCTCTGAAGTGCTCCTTTCTGATCCAGGCTGCCTTACGGATGGTGATTCAGACCTTGGAATTTCAGAGTCACTTTGGCTGTTTTCCAAATCCTCCCCACTGGAAGGCTCTACAGATGGCTCATTCTCAGTTTCTGGATTTGTGTTCCCATTATTACGGTTGACATTTATTTCCAAACTGAATCTGAAGTCACCACTATTTGGGTTAGTCCGGCTCACTGCTCTCCAAGACTGGTTTCCTCGCTGCCCACTTCGTGTTGTATTTCCAGTCTGTCGGACTGAATTAAGCCAGTCTATTATAGAATCTCCATTTGAAACATCTTCTGCGGACTCTGCACCTGCGAAAAAGACAGGGAACTACCAAAATTAGAGTACTGAGCTAATTCTGGAGCGATCTTTTCCAAGAACATAATTGCTTAGTTTAACAAGTGACAATTTAGAAGTGCTTAATCCTACCAAATGCTATTGTGGTTTAACACATAGCATCACAATTCTTATCTACCAGAGCTCTTTTAAGGGAGCAGGAGTGGACATTTTTCTAATACGTACAGATAGGCTGCAGCCATCACAGAGCAAACAAGTCAAAGTAACACATATTCTTTATCGTAAGTAAATGGAAAGTCACATTCCAGGTGTCATAACACATCAATATTCTGTGTTTTCCTTTCCAAACAATTAAGCGATCTATCGACCACTAAATAGAGAACTAAGTTTGTCCTGACCCTTCACTTGAAGAATAGCTTTATAGCAAATCTATCTCACTAAAGAATGAAACCCAGCGGTAAGCTCCAAGCATCCTCCACCAATCTCTATAGAAGGGTGATAATGAAAGCAATACAGCATCTTTGGAAGGGAGCAGACAGGAAGGCAATCTTAAAAAAAAACAAAAAAACAACAAACAAAAACTAAATGAAACTTTATCTTGATGCAGGTAACAGATGCATTATGAGTGAAATCTGTCCCAAACTGACCTCTGCAGCAGGTATCAGACATAACGTTCACTTAGTTTTGAAACAAAGCTCACCTTGCACCTGCCTAGGCTTAACTTGTTCCACTCCTGCACTCAAGTTAAGGTCCGTATGGGGTGCTAAAGTTAAGAGTTTTCACAAATACTGTATATACCTCTATTCTCATCACTGTTTTGCTGTGGCGGACCTTCTTTAACTTGGTGTAGCCTTCTCAGCAACTCTTCTTCAGTAATTTCACCTTAGAAAATAAGCAAAATTTTCCAAAAATATTTCCAAATCATATGTATGGCAAGCATTATCAAAAGCTTCTAAAGAAGGTACAAGCCACTGCTTGTCTTTTTTTTCTAATTAAATCCTGCCATAATGAGACTGCCAAACAGGTTGCTAAGGGGAAGTTCAGACACTTCAGCACCATTATTCCAAGTAAGTTTTGCTGAAGCTGAAAGATCCAACAGTTTCAACCTATTCGAGACAGATGTGCTTTCTGGTTCTGTAACCTCTACAACTTATCAGCAATTTTCGTCATCCTATACCAATTAAATGGCTGTCCAGAGTAAAATATTTAAGATAACACCTTCACAAGCATGAAAAAAGGTTTAAATTAGTTGAAGTCATGTTTTAGATTAGAACTGGTTTGAATTAGCTATCATCCTATAAAGAGTCAATTTAAAGTAATAAGTCAATTGAAAACTGACATAAAAATGCCCATGCAGAATCTTGCACCAGACTACTTATCCTAGTTACAAACTCTTAACCTCACCAGCACAAAATTTTCACACAGATGCTTAAGGGACATTACTTTTCGATCAAAAATGTCTAAGGGTCCATAACTGGAACTGGGTTAACTCTGGGTGTTCCCGCCAAGTTGTGTAAACACTAGACTTTTGTATCTGATGAATCCACATCATCCTAACTACCTCTCCACTAGTCAGGGGACCACTCAAATTTGAGTATGCACAAATTAGTAAGAAGCTACCTCCTACCACGGAACACAACTGCAGCACACAAACTAAATGGGTGAAACAGTTTCAGGAAAAGAGAAAATGACACAAAATCACCTACAAGCAATTCTAGTAAGATGTACATACACAAGCATTACCTACCTGGTGTTCCTAGCAAATTGTTATCTCTCATAAGCCTGTAGTCCTCTTCACTCAGGTTGTTTACAAACTGATAGAAAGCTTCTTCTCGATCTAACCGATCTAGCTGACTCTGACGTTGTGCTTCTGATTGATCAATATTTCCTTTATCACTAGAGTCTGAGCTTTCCATCTTGATGAGTGGAAGAGTACCTAAAAAGGAGAAAGTAAATCCTTCATCCAGCGTAGTGAAATACAGCATGAAATTTAGGTATGTTTAACCTGTACTACATCCTTCATTGTTATCCTTAATTTTGGCGAGGGGGGGGGAGCAGTTTGCTAATGAAGCTTCAGTTGAGATAAGCTGCATAACCACAGAGATCACAAATGCAGTAATTCTCAACGCATGAACCTCTTCAAGAAGTACAAACAAGATCTGTGCCCATCATTGTCAAATACTCAACAAAGCAGCAAGTACGAACACGTGGAATAGTATCAGCCACAACCCTTAGTCCATTTTGCATCGTTGACTACATGTCCACAACTATCTGCTTTTTAGCATAAAATATTTCTAATACTGCAGCTGCCCCACAAATCACAAAGCATGCCTTACGGTGCCATACAACAGTCTAGTACAAGGCATAAGCAAGCCATCCTCGATCACGCTCTCTAACTCTAAACGAGCATGGGATTAAGTGTCCATCACTTCTTCCTGCCCTGCACTACGGTGAGGAAAGCAGGAATCAATCTAACTTACTGCCTGCTATGAGAAATGCCCTCTTCAACAGCCAAGTGAATTCTAACAGAATGAAGGGGTTATGAAGAATTCAAATATAGAAGACGAAAGATGCCACGGAACACCATGTGTGCAGAAAAACCAACCAACCCGGACTATTAGTTTCCTCAAAAAAGGAAACTGACTTGTAAAACCAACTTTGTTGTTTCATGTGAAGAGAAGAATTTGCTTTAAGTTGCAGCATTTATTGAATTACTGATGTTGATGACTAGCATTTCTAGGACAAAACTCCACAGTGTATACCAGGTATAACTTCTGCTATGAAGAGCTGTCTTCTATATTGTGTATTTTTTAATATAACCTTCTCCTCATATTGTTTTTCATTTGGATGAGATCCTTGACAATGCCTCTCTCTCTCAAAAAACCCCCCAACATTATCGATGAATGCCATGTCTCTATTTGATAAATATTGTAACAAAATACATGCAAATCCAGGAGACATTCTGGCACGACTTGCGCCATGCAAATATATCAAATGAAGTTAAAATAATAACTAGCTTCCTTAATCACTGCGCCTCACTATTCACAACATCAAGAATTTTCCTGTACAACTGGTAGAATCTAGTTACTCAGAGGGGTGATTAGCAAGCTAATCCTCTGCATGCTAAAAAGCTCCGCAATAGCATTCCCCATCAGAAAACATTCCTTTCATTTAAACCATACTTCATGTGACATGAAAATACTGGAAGAAGAAAGCTTTTCTGCTTCTCACTGGAAAATTTCCAACACTTAGACATCTGTCTAGTGCAAAAAGCATCTTTTTTTGGTTTGTCAGCACAGCTGTCAAGTCAAGACTGCCCACAGTTTACATTAGTGCTTCTCCACAGAAGAGCAGCACTGCATGATCTCCGGGGGTAGTCTATTTCAGCTGCTATTGTGAAAATTAAAGTGCACTGACAACCTCAGTGTCTAACAGTAGAAAATTCCACAGGATAGGACATCCCATGATTGCAGACTTGCAGATTATAAAATAGCTACTCCAACCCTCTTTGTCTTGAATTCTGACGCAGTAGAACTTGTTTTTATGTCAGTCGTATTAAGGCACAAATGACTTGTAGCCTTGCATGCTGTATTACCGAGTGGCAACTGGTATTATTTGGTTCTGTGAATTTCTGTCATTTTACCAAAGAAATTAGGGTTAATTTTCACCTTTTTATCAGTAAGCAGCAGCAATCACTAGGGTTGCTACCATTTCAAATGGAAGCCTATCAGCTTTCTCTGCACTGCTCTATCTCTGGTGCAATTTAAAGACTGCATGGCCCGTCTGAAGACTTATATCTGACGTGCTGTCAAAACACACCAATAAATGAACCCATTCACAGTGAAAGTTGCACAATGGTTTCAGCAGGTATGTTCAACTTGGACTGGGCTCAGTTATTAAATCTGTATGCCCTTCAAATCTCAGACACATATTTCTAATGAGAACATAGCTTGCTTGAAACTCAACTTTTTACAAGCTTTCCGTAGCAGAATTATGACTCCAAGTAACTTCTCTTAAAGACATATTCATTCTAGAGAAGATACCAGAAATACAGACAGCTGCTTTTAGAAGAAACATCTGAATAAAGCCTCAAGTAGAATGAGACTTGCATCCAAAATAAAACCTTGAAAGATGCAGTAGTTCTCTGGGGATACACATCAAAACTCTAACCGGCATTCCCTTTTTTAAGACAACAAGGAAACAAAGTTGACAATACGATTAAGAAAATAAGGGAATGCAATAAGATGCTAAGGGACAGGAGCAGCATAAAGTTTTATAAAACATTTTCCCCAAAATGACTGCCACCTTGGTATCTACTGACTTAAAAACACACAGAATGTCTTCATAAAGATGCCAATACTAACATATTTGTAAGCATTAGACTAATTCTACAACAGCTTTTAAAAAAGAAAACCACACTATGCATACAAAGCATTACATTTGTTTACTGCTTATGCTTTGAAATTTTCCTTTTAACTGCAATTCCAGTGCTTGCAGGCACCTTAGCTATATAATGCTTATTTGATCCAAAGACATTTGCCCATTCCATTTCAGAAGATGAAGGGGTACCGTTCTTGGTCAGGGAAAAAGGGAGAGTCAAGTGAAGTGGGAGGGGAAAAAAATAATCTCTTCTTTACCAACAGGCTGATGTACTCTTCCATAGGTGATCCTTTAGGAAATGCTCAGAATAAGTCAAAGTCAGTCTTATTTATTTCCAGGTTTGCTCCTCTTTTCTCCTCCATCATCTCAGATGTTCCCTCCTAAACCATAAAATCAGCTATTGGTCAAGACTGAAAAGATGCTATTGCTAAGAAAAAAGCCTTAGAGGTGGGATCTTTAATTAAGAATTTAATTTAATTAGGATTATTTCTACTAGTGACAAACTCGTCGTATTTTCCTATTGCAAGCTACTGTAACAGATTACAGTGGCCCACTGTACCCCAATTTCATGCTGTTTAGCTTCAGTGTCCTAGAAATGCTATGACTCTATCTGGGATGTTTACATTGATGGAAATACAGATGGCAAAGAAATGCATAAATGCACCTCAACACATTCTCCCTACCTTGCTGTTGACAGCAAATGGGACTCCTCAAACCAGAGCTCTGGTATCATAGCCAACAAATGGAAAACAGGATTTCTACCCAAGGCTTCTGCTACTTTCTGTCTCTTCACTGTCCACATTGTCCATTTTAAGCTTCACCTCTCATACCACTATATTACCAGACTGAACTTACTAAAATATTTAGACTACTACTGCCTCAGCATGACTCCGTAGGTCCCATCTGGCTGTACAACAGGATTTCCACAGCGGCAGTTACTACATCACCTCGCTCCTATTTCAGCATGGTAGAGTGTTGCAGAAATAACTTGAAAACCTGTCCCTCGTTCAGGATTCTGCTCTCAGTTCATCCACTGCAGAAAATTAAGACCGGCTTACGGAAGCTGACTACAGTAACACAGGGAAACCTGATGAGGGAAAACCAACAGGTATACTATTAAGTTACAACAAAATAACCAACATCTGATTATCTAATAAGCAGGTACGCTTCAACTGTGTTTCTCTTTCTTCCAGTGGTTTAGTTCAACTCAAAGTAAGACCTGGTTCTTATCCAAGTTGAAAGATTCAGAATTTCCTTCTTTAGTGTCCTCCCTTGTCAGCACTGAGTTGACAAAGGGTGGGGAAGGTCACATCTATGAGCAGGAAGTTGAGATCTGGTGATTATTGCCAACTTCAGCTGAGACATCCAGCAATGAAAATCTCTTCATGCGAAAACAGGGTGGTGGTGGGGAATCACCTAAAGGTTGTACAAAACAAGAGAATCATAGCTAGAATAAACTATTTTCTCATTTGAAAAAAAAAAAAAAAAAAGAAGGGAAATATTCTTCAGCAGCTGAATATCCAGACACATTAACTACAGTGAATTCTTAATTGGTGTTCCCATCCTTCCACAAGTCAGCAAAGTATCTTCCCTGCAGTTATGCTTCAACAATCTCAGAGATTTCAGAGCACAAATGACTAGCTGTCTCTCCACTGCTGCTAGAGACTGCAGGAGCAAAAACAGTAAGCCCACAAAAAGGTATTGTTTGTTACATTCTTTTATTCAAGAGGAAGTAATATTATGCTCTTTTGCACAGGAACAATAAGAGCACTAGATACTCCTTCAATAACGCAAAGTTATCATTCTTACAGTACAAGATATATTTTACATTTTCCCTTATGCCAAGTCGCGTGTAAACTAAATCCAATCAGTCAGGAATTTACTGCTGCTTAGAAACAATCTAGTGGGACATGAAGGAGTGATAAAATACTTGCGTTGTCCATTTATCTTCAGCAATAACACTGTGTATCTCCGTACTGCTTAGCACTTATGGACTACAGAATTCTTCCCAGAAAAAGTACTAATGGACCATAAGGCACTGTGATAAATCACTAGCTCTTCCTCCTTCAAAAATATGTGATCTCTCCTGACATTAGTTATCTGTATTGAATACCAAGACACTACCTTAGCCTGCATTCCTGATTTTTAAATTAAAAAAAACCCAAACCAAACATAAAACATTAGAAGTCTCATTAAACCAACTAGATAAAACTTAGAACATCTGACAAACTCAGAAATCACTCATTTGCAGAGTTAAAAGAAAAAGCAATACCTTAAAGTTAGAATCTTCATTAGATTTATGGGGCAAGTCTCAAATTTTAACAGGAGAAAGGCCCTGAATTAGTTAAACCGCAGAAACAACTCAGGTGCTCACGAGCTAGCTGTGCAACAAAAACTTCCTCTAAAATTCCTCCCCATCTAGGTGTTACCGGTATTTCAACGTTACATGAGAATCTGTAGTGCCCTGTACATTAGGAACATTTCCTGAATTACCTCACATCCCAGTAACATAAATAATACCTTTGTATAAACAAAAAAAAATGATGG